TCGATTTTGGCAATTGGGCATCGAACATTGAGTCACAACGCAATGAGCACTACAAAGGCCGCGATGGTGTGCCAATTTCAGGCAGCCATGTGATCGCACACTTTTGCACCACCGTGCAAGCGACAGAGGCCGCGAGAGCAAACGGAGTTGTCGCAACCATGAAACGAGCAGCGAGGGGTCCTTGTCGATTATATATCTGTTGGTTGAAAAACATTTTGATCTGGGTCGACCCGACACTCCGTCCCCCGTATGTACATGTACATCCTGTCCCCCGCATGTGAACATGTACTGTACACCCCGTCCAAGACTCTATCGTTACAGGAGCTGTCCTCTGGGGACCTGTCAATCCGCGACTTCCGCATCAACCCGCATTCGTACCCCTGTACCGCAACAGGATTGTTGAAGCTGTAAAAGAACATGACGTCTCCTATCGCGTTAACGTGGGGAGAGAACGGAAACGGTCGCTCGCGACAAGCAGAACAACCGTCGTGGGGCAGGGTGCAGTCGCCGACGCCCACTGACTCAACCGACATTGGGCCGATTGCAGCGATGGCGTGCACGGGATGGGGCATTCACGCACTAAATCAAAATGGCGACAGTGGTTTTGGGATGCATTGGACGAACGTTCCATTCAAACGACGGGGTCGAGAGTGCCGTTGCCAGAGCCCTGTCGCGTACTTGTGGACGTACGTGCCAAATGCATATTCTTCGGCTAAATTCACATTGCAAGTGATCAACTGCACTCCCACGGAAGACTGTCATGTAAAAGCCGAGATCATCACGGCGGGGTGGAGCCTCGTCGCGCTGCTCCTCGCAGACGGCTCGATCAAGACATGTCACATCCACTGCATCACTCAGACGAAGGTGTATTCCATTGCGTCGGACTCGCGTGACCCCATTGAGCGCATGGTCGCGGGCAGTGGCTTCAGCGTGGCGCTGTCCAACCTCGGCCTAGTCTACTTGTGGCACGAAATTGGGCAATCCGAATCCCTCCATTTCGACACAGACGACAAGCTAGGGCTGCGTGGGGGCAGATTCTCCCACGTGTCTGCGCGGTTGCACAACCTAGCGCTCGTCGACGGTGCAACTGGACGCTTACGTATGTTTGACCTGAACCGTGGTCGAGAAATCACGTCGACATGGATGGACTCGACGCTGAAAATCGCCAAAGTCTCGCACGGCAACTTGAACGGCGGCGCATTGCTCACAAATGTCCAAGTGTGGAGAAGGGGCAACGGGTCGTAGTAAGGTCATTTTCACCCTGCAACGTTATAACCTGTGTCTTTTTATACCAAATCGCGGGGTTTTGGATATTAAATGATACAGTTTTGGTCGTATTGGGTACACAAGGAACTCTGCAATTTGATACCCTGTCATCGTTTAAAAATAGATGCGGATTCGACCTAATTTTACAATCCTGCACGCACCATGGACGTAACACTTGATGCATGCCTCGCGTTTGTCAAGGATGCTCGGTACCGTAACGTCTCGATATTCTCCGTTTACAAGCATGGTTCTGGTCCCAGGGAGTCAAAGCAGCATCCAGATTCGTTGCCGACGCCCTGGGGCGCAATATTCCCCTCGTCCAAGAGGTGTGGAGAGAATACCCCAGTCTCAGACCGTGACTGTTGCGCCAACATCGGGTAATCGAACAACACACATCACCAAAGTCCCACGGTCCAAGCTGGTCGTGCGACTCGGATTAGTATTTGGTTTCCTCTAAGATAGCCATATACTGCCATAATACATTTATCCATTTCTCAAGTTGATACACTTCACACATCACTCTATCAATAAATACCCCCATACGATTATCAAAAGAAAAAAAGCTAACTCAATGGTGTCGCGAACTGTTAGGGTAATCGATGTACCTCATAGTACGTAATCACCACTGGCTAATACTCAGAGATACACCCCCACCTGCAACCCCAGTCATCCTAGCACCATCCCGCACCCTTAATAACGCACCTCCAATTCCATGTATATGAAACAAACACGACATTATGGAGAGCCTTGGTGTTGTAGACACTGTCGTCCTCGGCAACAGAACCAACAAGTCTGGCTCAAGGGGCACAACTTACCACGAGTACCGTGCCCGAGCCTGGCGCCAGCTCCAGCACTGCGCCTTGGGCATTGTTCATAAAGTTTGTCGGG